AAACTGAGTGAAATATATCAAAGAATTAAAGATCAAAGTGGAACAAACTGAGTGAAATATGTCATAAAATTAAAGATCAAAGTGGAACAAACTGAGTGAAATATGTCATAAAATTAAAGATCAAAGTGGAACAAACCTGTATGAAATATGTCATAAAATTAAAGATCAAAGTGAACAAACTGAGTGAAATATATCATAAAATTAAAGATCAAAGTGGAACAAACTGAGGAACAAACTGAGTAAAATATGTCATAAAATTAAAGATCAAAGTGGAACAAACTGAGTAAAATATGTCATAAAATTAAAGATCAAAGTGGAACAAACTGAGTGAAATATGTCATAAAATTAAAGATCAAAGTGGAACAAACTGAGTGAAATATATCATAAAATTAAAGATCAAAGTGGGACAAACTGAGTGAAACACTACGGGAAGCTGAACCTGAAGTATCAAAAACACTTCTATGATAAATGCCACGGGAAGCTGAACCTGAAGTATCAAAAACACTTTTATGATAAACACTACAGGAAGCTGAACCTGAAGTATCAAAAACACTTCTATGATAAACACTACGGGAAGCTGAACCTGAAGTATCAAAAACACTTCTATGATAAACGCTACGGGAAGCTGAACCTGAAGTATCAAAAACACTTTTACGATAAACACTACGGGAAGCTGAACCTGAAGTATCAAAAACACTTCTACAATCCTGAAGTATCAAAAACACTTGGAATCCAAGCCAGTAGACAAAAAGAAACTTAATACTACAAGAATGAACTGTCCTCACCTTTGGAATCCAAGCCAGAGTACAAGGAGAAACTGAATATATACTTGGGGATTCGTGAACACAATCAATAAGATGGTCTCCATCAAAAGTACAGCCCTCCAGCTGTAGTCCACTGATTTTCACCACTAGTTTGGCTCCTGATATACCTCCTTTCCACGTGGTGACAAGCTTCAAGTTGTCCATTGGCTGCTGTAGTATTCTAAAGATGATATTATGAAGAACGTGTAAAGCAGACTGTACACATCATTAATAAAATAATAGTTTATGGTAGTTTTGTGTCACAAACTACCTTGTCATCTCCCACAATGTTCTTAATACAACAAATATTGACATTTTCTAACAGTATGTTATGACCAAAATTTATAATTCACAGAATAACCACACAATATGAATACTACAAGAATGAACTGTCCTCACCTTTGGACAAAAAAACTTAAACTGGTTTGTATTCCAAAGGTCAGGACAGTTCATTCTTGTAGTATTAAGTTTCTTTTTGTCTACTGGCTTGGATTACAAAGGAGGACAGTTCATTCTTGTAGTATTAAGTTTCTTTTTGTCCACTGGCCTGTATTCCAAAGGTCAGGACAGTTCATTCTTGTAGTATTAAATTTCTTTTTGTCCACTGGTTTAGATTTCACATGTTAGGACAGTTCTTTCTTATAGTATTAAGTTTTTATTTGTCCACTGGCTTGGATTCCAAAGATTAGGACAGTTTATTCTTGTAGTAATAAATTTCTTTTTGTCTACTGGTTTGGATTACAAAGGTCAGGACAGTTCATTCTTGTAGTATTAAGTTTTTATTTGTCCACTGGCTTGGATTTCAAAGATTAGGACAGTTCATTCTTGTAGTTATAAATTTCTTTTTGTCTACTGGTTTGGATTACAAAGGTCAGGACAGTTCATTCTTGTGGTATTAAGTTTCTGTTTGTCTACTGGCCTGTATTCCAAAGGTCAGGACAGTTCATTCTTGTAGTATTAAGTTTCTTTTTGTCCACTGGCTTGGATTTCACATATTAGGACAGTTCTTTCTTATAGTATTAAGTTTTTATTTGTCCACTGGCTTGGATTCCAAAGATTAGGACAGTTCATTCTCATAGTTTTATATGATGTGCATGGAATTTACTTACCAATTATATATCAATGTAAAACATTTAACTTGTTATACAATTACTGTAAAAAGTAAAATGTAGTAACTTATATTTTTTAATGAAACCCAAATAAAAAAATGTAAGTTTTTTAAGATATATATATATATATAATAAGTATAACATTTTAAAGAAATATAAGGTTCACTTCCAAGCTGTCAACCCTTCTTTTGTCTTTAGCAGAGATTTAAAGGATATTTGATGATGGAATGTGTAACACAGATAATTTTAGTAATGTTTTTTTTTTGACAGGAAGTAAAGCCTCCATACAGAGAATCAGAAGTTATCTCCCTTCCACTGTACTTTACATCAGAAAGAGATCGTATTGTCACATCCCTAGACATTCCTAGTGGTGGAAATACTGACCACTGGCTGCAGTGTGGAGCTGCATTTTTTCTGAAAAATAGTTAATTTCACTGTGATAATTCAAGTTAGTCTCTAGCTTGTTTTTTGTGCTAGCAGTTGAAGTGGCACTAAAGTTTTATACTTAATTTATTCCTTCATAGTTTGGGGCACAATGATTTTACATGTTATACCAAGTTTTTCATGATATTAATTCAACAGTAAAGAAAATTATATAACTGGTGTTGTAAGAAATAATCAAAAATATACATTGAGGCATATAAATCATGATGTCATTTGTTAATATTCTCGAGTAACAAACCTAACATTCACTACTTATTACACGCTCATTAGTTGTGACGGTTTGTCCTAACAACATACGTAGAAGTTCTAAATTGGATCTAATTATAAAAGCTGTTAAGTTTTCAGATAAATTGTATAGTTACAATACTCATCAATACATTCAGCTAATTGATAAGTGTTGTTTTTGATTGTAATATTCATCTAAAAACAATTAATTCTTAAACTTACATTTGAGATGAATGCTGTTTTTAGGAATTATTGATAATTTAACATCACCAATTAGGGGTATCGTAGAGTAATCACAATGAAATTTGATCTGTAGCATATTACTGGATACTGGAAGATGATAATTAATATATATATATTACTTCACTGGAGTATGTTGTTCCTACTAGTCAATTATTTCCCATCAAGCAAATTGAGAGAAAAAATGTAATTATGTAGTTGAAATAAAATATTAAGATGTTCTGTGATTTTTTTCAGTTACAAAAACTTACACACAATAAAATATTGACAGTTTACAACAGTCACTTCCCAGGAACACCCTAAACGAGAGAACACATAAATATAAATGTTCGTTATCTCCCACTTTTTAAATTGCTAGTAGTATGAACTTCTAATAACCAAATACAAGGTGTGCTTACTGCCACTATAACAAACATGGAGGAAATTAGAAGATCTGCTTGCTGGGAGTCTATGAATACTACAGTTACAAATAAATCAGTTGCTTGTGATAGCAACATTAATATTTTTCAACCAAAGCAACTGCTACACACCGTATTCAACGAGGTGTTGTATGTGTTATCCATTAATTTAATAGTAGTATAAACACTACAGGATTCTTCTAAGAGATTTCGATGTGTTTAAAATATTATTCCGACATGTTATAAAACAGCTACTTTCAATGAACACAACTCTGAAATCTTTACACTGTACAGACATTTATTTTTGTACTTAGCATAACTGACTGAATCTGAGTATCAATACATTTACAGATGCCTTCTGAAAGTTAAGATAAACTGAATGTATAAAAAAAGTTAGAGTTTCTTAACTCCAAAAATCTTTTCAATATCAGCAATAGTTTTGGGACAACGTGATGTTAGTATTTCAGGTCCTACGTCGGTGATCAGAATATCATCTTCGATCCTAATGCCCATTCCTCGATACTGAGCTGGCACTTGATGGTTCTCTGGTTTTATATAAATTCCTAATAAAAAAAAAGATATAAATATTAAGTTTCTTTATTTTCAAAATTCAAAGGAGTTAAAAAAAGTTAATGCGACTCAGGACCTTTTCTAGGTAGTTAAGCTTGTTTTAGAACTTTATATTTCAGTATAATAGTTAAAGTTAATACAACTCGGGACCTTTTCTAGGTAGTTAAGCTTGTTTTAGAACTTTATATTTCAGTATAATAGGAAATGTTTTTCGTGGAACAAGATGGGTAAGCTTAGTGAAATCATTTTGCACTCAATAGTATCAAGTTATATTACATCAACAAAGCCTCTATTGGCCTAAGTCACTGCTTAAATCATCAAAACAAAATATATACATACATTAAATGAAACCTTCTGATTAAGAATTTAAAAAAAACTTGTTCACGATTCTGGATAAAAATAAAGATAAGATTACAGTTTCATAAGAACTTAGAAATGTAGTATTTTTTTCTTAAAAACTCAAATCTGCAAATTTATAGAAATATCACATTAAAAGTATTTTATTTACAGAAGTTATGTAATCTCAAGAAAGTAATTCTAAAGTTTCAAATCTATTTCATTCAGTGCTTTTCTCCACAAACCACACAACAGGAACTATAAGAGAAATAATATGGTCAAGCAAACTGTGTTTCTCCATAGGCCCAATCAAGTCATTAGTAGAGAAGGAACACTTGGACTGTATCTTCAAAATATAAAGTCAACCAGTTTATTAAGAATAATGACAACTATGTTATCAGAAACTTACACTAAATAAAAGTTTTAATTATGAATTATTTCTAATAGAAACTAATATTCTTTACAAGTAACAGTTAAGAAAATGTGATTATAGTAGTATTTACTTACCTGGTTCGACAGAAGAACGATGAAACTCAAGCCTGGTATGGTTATCACTGTTGAACCAGGTAAGTAAATACTACTATAATCACAAGAACGATGAAACGCAAGCCTGGTATGGTTATCACTGTCGAACCAGGTAAGTAAATACTACTATAATCACAAGAAATAATTCTAGTGTCATGTACGTCCATTCCAAGGTAGTGGCTAACATGATGTGGACAGAAATTATAGGCTATCTGAAATATTCAAATACATGGATGTATATTCCAAGATGGTATTCAACAGGACAGACAGACATTACAAGTTACCTGACTTAAAAACATGGGGATACCACTCCAAGGCAGTGACTAACATGATGTAAACATATTACAAGCTACCCGACATGAAACACCAGGGGGATACCACTCCAAGACAGTGACTAACATGATGTAAACATATTACAAGCTACCCGACATGAAACACCGGGGGGGATACCACTCCAAGGCAGTGACTGACATGATGTAAACATATTACAAGCTACCCGACATGAAACACGGGGGATACCACTCCAAGGCAGTGACTAACATGATGTAAACATATTACAAGCTACCCGACATGAAACACCGGGGGGGGATACCACTCCAAGGTAGTGACTGACATGATATAGACATTATAAACTACCTGACATCAATCCATCTCAGCTTTTCACTTTAATTGAACATTTCTGACACCATCTATGAAATAAATTCTGAATAAAACTAAAAATAGTTCAGAAACAGTGTAAGAAAGAAAATGTCATTGATGCTGCAAGTATGCAAACAGGTTCTGGCCCCCTTACAGGTACATCAGCTAGTTATAATTAAAAGACGTCTGCCTTTTATTTGCCCAACTCGCCAAATAATCCAAATCCTTTTGTAAAACAGCCAGTAACACCCAAAACTTTAAACAATTTATTGACCATTCCTTTATCTATGTCACTGATGTAAATCAAATAAAGCAAAGGTCCTAAGACTGAGCAGGTACCCCACTTGTGACATTAATCCATTTATAACAAGCCTCTTATGTGATGCCTTATCAAATACTTTCTGAAAATCCAGATACACCATATCCACACCTGTACCCTCATCTATGTAACCAGTAATCTCTACAAAGAATCTCAAAAGATTTGTAAGGATAGATATTCCACCAGTGAAACTATATTGGTTATCCAACAACATTTTAAACTTTGTTAAATGACTTTGCAAAGCACCTTTTATCAATTTTCCAAACCTTTTCCCTCCACTGATATAATACTAATAGGTCTATAATTACTGGGACAATTTTTATCACTTCCATCGAAGAGTGACATCAACCAACTTCCAATCGTCTGACACCTGCTCACTATTCAAGGACATTGAAAAAATAATAGCAAGTGGCTTACATATCCAGTTATTAACCTCTTTCAAAACCTCAGGTAATTATTATGTGGCCCAGGTGCTTTATCATTTTTTAAACTTCCTAATTTTTTCTTAAGCTAAGAATTAATGCGATCATTTTGTTCAACCTTGTTTTCATCTCGCTTGAATCTTCATTAGTAAAAACTAAAAAAAAGCAAAATTTGATAACCCAGCCTTCTACTTATCCTTAGTATATTTGCAATTAATTCAAACTTCTCATATTAATAATGATTTTCTTTAATTTTATCCTTTGAGAGCCATCCTGGTTTTTTACTTGCAGCCACCCATTTTTGTTTGTAAGGAACATGTTTACCTTGAATATTTAAAAACAAAGTTCCAAATAACTCAATTGCCCAATTCATAACAGATAATTCTTGTCGCATCTCTTCAAAATTTGCTTTTTTGAAATTTGTAACCAAAATATCATTATTCCTTATCTCCATGTGCAGCAAAACATTGAACCTAATAGAGCAATGATCACTTGCACCCAAATGTTCCCCAATTTCCACCTTCTCAATCATTTCTGTATTAGAAGTTAACAATAAATCTAAAATAGCATTGTTTCTAGTTGGTTCCTTGACTAGCTGGTGAAGAAAGCCATTTTGAACAGTTTTCAAAAACCTTTCTCCCTCATGGTTTGACTCTAGCATTTCCCAATCTATATGCCTGATATTAAAATCACCCATAATTATGACTTCATTACCAGCTGAAATCTTAATGTCATTGTAAAGTTTCTCACTAATTTCATCAGTATCATTTGGTGGTCTGTAACCAATTCCTATTAAAAGCCTTTTCCCTTTATATCCACTAATAGAAACCCAAATGGATTCAATTTCCTTATTATTATCTTTGATATCTTCAACTTCAACAGGATGTAACTCAAGTTTTACAAATAAACCACTCCTCACCCCTCTTTTTATTAAAGACTATAACTCTGTAGTTCAAAGAAATTATTTCATAAATGTCTACATTTAGCCACATTTCATTTATTCACTTTATATCAAAATCCTTTGATCCAATTGGTGCTCTAAAGTCATCCATTATAGTTTAGCCTACCATTATAACCCTCCATATATCTTATTTTTCTCCACTGTCTAATTCTATTTTAAAGTTGCCCTGAAAGTTGAGTTAATAGCTCTTGCAAACAAACCAGCCCCCTACCCTATTTCCCATTGAACTGATCCCATAAATCCAACCAGCTAATCTGCTCGTCTTTACATATCAACGTAAGCCTTGCATTCGGCCCTACTGACCTATTTATAATTTAATCCGCATAGCTAAGTCTTGGCAGTATCCCTGACAGATTTAAATTATTATAACCATTTTTAAAGCCTTGTTCTTAACAATTAGCTCCTATGTGTACTGTATCACTACTAGCATCCTTTACTCCTAGACAGCACAATTTCTTTTCTCCCAATTTACCCCACAGACTCTCCTATACACATCCCAAACTAAAGAACCTCTGAAAACAATAACATCCTTATGTTTTTCATTCCATCCCTCCCTCCTCATCTAAGAAGTCAAAGTCTGAAACTGTTTTTATACCAGTCTGCTTTTTATAATTAAATCTGCCACCACTAGCCCTATTATTACTGCTTCCAACCTCATCACTAGTCGTTGTATCCTTCACAATTTCCTCTCTAAATCTGCTGCTACCTCTCCCACTTTTCCTACAAACTTTACAACTTCACTTCTGGTTTCCATAAATGTTCATGTCAGCCTCAATTTCCCAAATAAAACCCACTCCTAGCACCTATCACACCTAATAAACTGTGGGTTTATAACACACTATTCTTAACCAGGAATACCACAGATAGAAATTTACAAGGCTATATGACATGAAAACCCAGGGAATATTTCCTTATTTTATCCTCAGCATATATAATTTACAAGGCGAAATCTCTTACATTACATTATCTATTTTTTGTCAGACTCTACCTTTACACAGTTATTCCTTTCTTTACCTCCACTTAACATCACCTTTATGTAGGCTTACCTCTTTCTTTGTTTTAATCCAAACAACTTTATTCTCCTCACCTTTGCAAGTTCAATTTTCCCCAGTTTTCCTGAAACAAGTCCCAGTTCTTGAAGTTTTGTTCCCATCAGTTGGCACATGGTGTGAAACAACTGATCAAGGTTGGACATTTCACAACACAATTCAATTAGCTCTTTCTGAATTATTAAAACTATTTCGTACAGATCTTGCTGTGGACAGGTAAACTTCCCACTAACTGGCCACGTCCGAGTCAGGTCACTAGCATAACTATGATATTCACAACCTTTACAAACAGACAAGACAGAACATCAGAACTGGAGCTTTAACATTTAGAATGGACTTAAATTCTTGCAAAGAAAACTATTCAAATTTTTAAATTCCATTGCTTTAACAGACCTTAGCAGCTATTTTTTAATAAAAACAAGTTCAAATTACTTTTCTGCTATTTACTTATTTTGGGTGGTACTATGTGTTCTGGTTACTTCAGTGCCTGGTTTTGTAACTAGTAGCCAGATGAATGAATATTTAAATGAAACCTTTCTTACAAGCCATGTAAAATAATATTGAAATCATGAATAAACAAAAAGTTATATATATATTTAGCCATCATCTAAGTGTACTTGCTCATTCTCAAAAATTCTCTCTATTCCAATACTCTATACAACAGTATTGTCTCTTCTTCATTTCTATGGAAGCTTCAAACTGCAGAAAATCTTTTAACTCAATGTTCAAAACAAAACTTCTAACCTGCATCCATTAGTACCATATCCCCTGGTAATATCCTTTGATTGTTTGCAATGTAGTGAATGATATTAGCACGAGAGCCTCCAGCCACAACAGGTGGGTAAGCTAGCCGTTCTGCTCCCCGTATCCTACATTCAAAGTCCATCTTGGCATACAACTGAGTTTCATTTACTCCGGGATGTGATGATTTCATTACTTCCGTCAATGATTCGCATGCTATTTCTGCTGAATGTTGCATGAGCTTGATTTCTGATTCTGACTTGATTAACCTAAGCTGCTGAATTAAAGGAATTGGAGACTCAAATTCTGTATGATGCAAACTGGACATAAAACTTTTTAAAAGTTCATTAACATTTGGTAATGGTGGATTAAGAAAATCATACCAAAGAACAAAATTATGATGGCTACGAGCATATACTTGTAAAAAGTTTTCAAGTTCCTCCATACTATAAGCACAGTCAACACCCAGAAGCTCGACTGCACCTTCAGTACCCGTGCGAGGTCCTTCCCACATTTCAATGTGGTTATTTTTTTTGGGAACAAACAGAGTCGAAACATGCTCAGGCAGATTTTTATCTGGTGCATTCTGTAATAATAGAACACTATCCGGTTCTTGAAAACCGGTAAGATACAGAAACTCTGTATTTTGACGGAATGGATACGGAATTTTATCCGACATAAATACTTTGGAAGCAGAAGGGATAACAACAAGGTGATTTTTAGTATTTCTCTTCAATCTGTGAAACTGCTGTAGTATTAGTTCCATAAGTCTAAAACGACGATCTTGAAACTCAATTTTTGTGAGGCCCGGTGTAACCTGACCTTCTTGTATGATATCAGGATGTGTTCTTGATGTTATCTGCCCATAGGTTTGTGGAAAATTTTGTTGTTTTTCTTGAGATGATGATGCTGTGGAACAAAACTGGCAAAGTGCAAAAGTTTTCTTAGATAGATCTCGAGAACATTCTTTCCATCCTAAAGGAGAAACACAAACACAAATTTATATACAGGACAATATTATTGTGCTTAAAACAGGATGAATATATATACACAATTTAACTAATTATGTTAAAGAATATAAAAACAAAAACTACATTCCTTTATTTCTATTAAAGTGACAGGTTAGGTCTAGCTTATACCACAAACAGTCAATCCCTGTTTACATCTCATTTTGATGAACTACAACGTTAAGTCTATTGGATCTCATCAATTAGTGACAAGTGTAAAGACTTATTTTTGCAAAAAGTCTCCTACATTACTAAAATAATCACATTCACTGAAAAACATTGAAATATCTGACACATTTGATGATAGGAAAGTACCACCTCAAAGTTCAATAACTATACTTGAATATCATTAATAAACAAATTAATAGCCCAACAGCCTTTATTACTATTATATAAAAACTAGTGTAAATTAATAGCCAGTGGCTCAACAGCCTTTATTACTATTGTATACAAACTAGTGTAAATTAATAGCCCAGTGGCTCAACGGCCTTTATTACTATTGTATACAAACTAGTGTAAATTAATAGCCCAGTGGCTTAACAGCCTTTATTACTATTATATACAAACCAGTGTAAATTAATAGCCCAACAGCCTTTATTACTATTGTATACAAACTAGTGTAAATTAATAGCCCAGTGGCTTAACAGCCTTTATTACTATTATATAAAAACTAGTGTAAATTAATAGCCCAGTGGCTTAACAGCCTTTATTACTATTATATAAAAACTAGTGTAAATTAATAGCCCAGTGGCTTAACAGC